AAACCCCAAAACCCTCAACCCTAAACCCCAAAAGCCCTAAACCCTAAACCCCTAAACCCCTAAACCCCTAAACCCCTAAACCCCTAAACCCTAAACCCCTAAACCCAAAACCCCAAAACCCTCAACCCCGAACCCTGAACCCTGAACCCTAAACCCTAAACCCCTAAACCCCTAAACCCCTAAACCCTGAACCCTAAATGCCCTCAACCCTGATCCCCTACACCCCTAAACCCTACACCCTAAACGCCCTCAACCCTGATCCCCTACACCCCTAAACCCTACACCCTAAACGCCCTCAACCCTGAACCCCTACACCCTACACCCCTTAACCCTGATCCCCTACACCCTAAACCCCTCAACCCTGATCCCCTACACCCTAAACCCCTTAACCCTGTTCTCCTACACAACTCTAAACCAGCCGAGCCTTGTGGGGATCAAGCCCCGCCTTCTCGTAGAGCCTCGCGCAGCCAGGTGCGCCGTTTACAGGGTTTACTTGGAGGTCCATGGGTAGTTATAAGTGGGGTTATAAGGGATAGGGTTTAGGGTTTAGGGTTTAGGGTTTAGGGTTTAGGGTTTAGGGTGTAGGGTTTAGGACTTAGGGTTTGGGGTTTAGGGCTTATGGGGTTTAGGGTATTTATAAGTGGGGTTATAGGGTAACTATACTTATAACCCATATTTAGGGGACTTATAACCCCACTTATAACTACCCATGAACCTCCAAGTAGGGGTGTATAGTATGAGGGCCTCAATAATTAGAATAGGGTTTTGGGGCCCATTATACTGTAATTGTAGTAAGGACCCCCAAAAAACAAAAATCGGAGGGTTTAGGCTTCGGGGCTTGAGCTTCCTTCAACAATGTAGTATAGGGGCCGTAGTAAGCCGTAATACGTGAATAAAGCTTTGGGTGCATTATAGCTATGCGTGCATCGGGACTCAACGCGGATATACTACGAAGCAAAGCGAAACCCTAAACTCCATAAGCCTAAAACTCTAAACCCTAAACCCTAAAACCCTAAACCCTAAAACTCTAAGCCTAAGCATGGGAAATCAAAGCTGCATGCCAGTCCTCGCCATGGCTGGCACAATCGAGTTGAGCCTCAGTTTGAACAAATGACTGGGTCTAGTATAGGGGCCTGAAACATTAGACTATGATTTTGGGATATACTTTATTCCAATTATAATTAGGAGCACCCAAAATAATATTGGTAATTAT